ATAAACTGAACTTCCATGAATCTTAACCAACAGATTTAAGCAGCTTTTAGACTAACCCGTTGAGCTCAATATCCAAGACAACCTCCATGAACATAGCTCCTCCAGAAACTAAAAAAAATGGATATTACTTTGTCTTCATACGCTCAGCTACACCTCTCTGCGTAAAAACCACTTTACACTGTCACCTTCACTCACTCGTTCTTCTGTATCAAACTGGCTTCTTACTTGAGAAAGCACGTCGGAACTTTTGACATGTCTTCTTTCTTCTTGCAGCCACTCCAACTGATACATTTCAAAAAAAAAAAAAGAACACCAAGAACCTTTCTTTATTTCAGCAGTCTTAACCTCTCTACTTGGAGCATTCTTCATGATCTAATAGTGAAACAATTTAAGCTGATACACCATCAAACCATTCTCAATCTCGGAAACCAAATCTTGTACTCGCCTTAGGCAAATCCACCATAATCTTATCTTGCACCGCTGTTTAAAACAGGACACGCCGCCTAACACCCGTTGGCTAGGAAGACTCTCGACACAAGAAAATAGTACAGCCAATTGCATACCATCAAATACTTCTTTTGTCACTTGAAGATTTGATTCAAAAAACAAGATCATTCCCGAGAAAACACTGCTAGCTCCACCCGAGATAAGAACTAAATGTTCTCTTAGATTCATTCCAGCAGAATCACCATGTGTTACACCAAACACAAAACTGCACAAAAAAAAGAATCTTAGACACTGCCATCTTTGTCAAGAGTATTTACTCTCAAACAAGAACCCACACACTGTCCAGCTTACACCAAACAACATGTTTACAAAAACGTTGCTGCATTCCCTCTGAAAATAGCAGCCTTGTAGCTTCATGTTCTCTGATAATCTAACAACATGTAGACTCACTCATTCACAAGAACTGATAGCTACACACAGAGATAAACCTGCAACCAAAACCCCTTTCAAAACTCAGCAAAACCAAAGAAGTTTCTCAAACCGTTTCTATCTTCACCAAACAGAAAACTTGACTTGCTTCATTACCATTCTGCAACCTTCTTTAAACTGAACTTAAGAAAACCCTTGATGATACTTATACATCCATAAAACACTCATCATATTCAAGGTTCTAAGGCGTCCCCTAGTTCCATGAATCTTATGAGTTACCGGGCTGAATAACAACAACGATTAGAACACCACCTTCAACTGATTTTACCACACTTCTATGACCAGAAAAAACAACCTGAAAACCACCACTGGATCTTGGCCAATCCCTTGCAAAAAATCAATGCACTCTCTTTGTGTTCCAACTAGCTTTCAATCTTATTAATATGCAGAACATATGCAAATCTGAAACTTCAATACAGACCATCACACAATACTTTGTGACTGCAGCGGAAAACAGACTTAAAGTCTCTTTAAACTTGAGTTACGAAGTTGATGTTTGATAACAACATCAACTCTAACCGGTTTCTTCAACATTGATCAAGAGTACCCATCATTGATCATACCTTCTTGCATCCATCTCTATACCTTCTTATAAATTAATAATTAGGTAAAATTTTCAAAATATATGTATATATAGACACATTATTATTTTTTAGAGTTTATTTCTAATATTTTACTATATAAAAAATTGTTAGAATTCTTTTTCAAGACATAATAATTATTTTCTTTGTTAATCATTATATAAAATACTAATTATCATGATTAAATCTTATTTTTAAATCTTTTTTTGAAAAAACTTTCCAAATTAGGAAAATCTCTCTATAAATTAATAATTATTAATTTATCGATAAATTA